AACTTATACAATTAAAAATATAAAAATGAAAAAATAAAGCTAATCAGCATGAGCAAATGTTGTTTTGTAATTATTGATACATTTAAACAACCATTACAAATTTTGCAGTCAGTAAGATTTTTTTTTTTTAAGAAATGAAAGCTTTTATTCACCAAAAAAAGTGATGGTAAAGGAGTTTTTACTGTATATTCTACTTCAAATAAATGCTGTTCTTTTGAACGTTTTCTTCATCAGAGAATCTTGGGAAAAAAATGTATTACGGTTTCCACAAAAATATTAAGCAATACAAAATTTAATTTTAAATAAAGTCATAATAATAACAAATGTTTCTTGAGCACCAAATCAGCATATTAGAATGATTTCCAAATAACATTTGAACAGTAGTGTATATATTCCATAAATTAAACAAACGTATTTATTTGAGCATTTTTTCCCCTTCACAAACACTTGGGCAACATAAGCGAATGGATGACAATCAAAGAATTCAGTCAGCATCTGATTCTCTTTAGTCATTTTAATAAGTTGTAATCGGTACATGTGTTATTCTATAGCAAACACAGATCAGAAAGATCAAAATGAAGGGATAATTAAAATAAAGATTGAATTATTGATAGCCTTGGATTAACCTCTATGCTGGAAGCATGAGGGATACCCTTCATTGTGTCCATATCCATTGATTAACACAATTGAACCAGATGAGTCATCAATCAATGGTCTTCTCTGGAACATATGACTTCAAAAATCAGTTTTCTATTTTCTGTCCTGTTCTGTCCTCTATTCACTGTTTCACCCCCCTCTCTCTTCTCTCTTGCCCCTAGGATTCATCTGGCTCCGTGGACAGAGTTCAGTAAGTGGTTTCCCCCCTTTTTCTCACTGGTTAGTTCAGACTATTGATTTCGCTCTTAATTCAGAGCTTTCCCCCATTTTATTCTGCTCCGTGTCCTAAACTCTGCCATCCAGCCCGAGCCATATCGATTGCTTCTATTTTCATCTGTCATGTTCATCTGTCCAGTACACAGTTAGAGCAGAGTCATAGTATTTTTCTTTACGAATGATTTATGATATTGAGCTTCTGCAGAAACACAGCAGTTTACCTCCTGACATAGACAGATAAACACACTGATTTGTAATATATTGCAGGATGTTGGAGGAGTACAACAAAGAGCTACACGAGAAGCTGTTGCAGATGGTGGCATGCATTGAGAACATGGAGGCAGAATTGCAGTGTACCAAGACAGAGTTAGTCAGCTTCAAAGAGAAATACAGAAGGTCAGCATCTAAACTCCATACATAATACTGTGAATAAAAACGTTTTTTTAGTTCATAAAATGATAGCACTCATCTTTTATTCTCTGTTATGTATCATTTGCAGGCTACAGGAAAGCTATTCTGTTTCTCAACAGACAAACGGTGTCTTGGAGCAGAAACTCAAAACTGCAGTAAGTTTAACACAAGTTGTAGAAGGCATTTTTCACAAAATGACTACAAAATAAACAGTTTTTTTTACAGTTTTAAATAGGTTAAAATTAGCTAACTAAACATTGTTTATTATTACACTGAAATGTAAATCAGTTCAATAGAACTATTACGATTTTTGTTGGATACAGCTGAAAAGGTCAAGATTCTGTGGTGGGACCAAATCATCATTTTGGGGGATGGATGTGAGATTTGTGCCTGACATAAATGTTTATATTAAATATAAAAACAAAGAATATGAACAACAAGAAAACACGGGTTGTTGTAAAAGATACACATACAGTACAATCAAAGAAGCTCTGTGTTGTGAATTGCTTTCTTAAGTTTTTTTTATTACATAAAGTGCACATCTGTAAAATATGATGGTACTCTTTTCAGGCCTTATGGCTACTTATTAAAGCACCTGCTCTCCTGTGCGCTGGGCTCTATAAAAATGCAAATTCACATCTGCTGAAATTTCAGTAGTGCTATACCAGCACCTGTGTTATATTTAAACAGTATTTTTTTAACCTTATTTTGAAAGGTAGACAGCTTGGACTCAGAGAGGAAGTTCTTCATGCAGAGAGTCGCAGATCTGACTAAACAGCTGGATACTGCTCAGAAGACCATCAGCTCTCTGGAAAACATCAGTGTAAGTGACAGACAGATACAGCAAACTGATGTCTTCTGTTTTTTGCACAAACTAGTCAATTCCCCACAAAACTGCTTATATAGTTCGCCTATAATATTATACATATTATTAACCTATGATATTTTATTGTAGTATAGTAGATGTGTATACATCACAGCATATAGTCGCCAACCAATCAGCATTGTCATGACATAATTTCTGCCCTGAACAAAGAGGGGGAAATATATAAATGTTCAAACAAATAAAATGCAACATTGCTCATAGCCAACCGGCAGGTTTATTTATAGTTGTGTCTGCACAATCAAGTATTTTAACATAAAAGAACACAAATCACCTGTTGAAAAAAACCCCTAAAGGTTAACATCTTTCTCTCTTTAGGTTCCCTCATTGATTAGAGAGTTGTTGAAAAATCACTTTGACTCTCATGAAGCACTGGAGCACTTCTTATGTCCTCAAACATCTCCACGCCAAACTGATGGTGACCAATCAGAGAGGGTGCAGGAGCTCAGAAACAACCAACCATTTGGTGGAAAAGGGGATGTTTTTGAATGGCCACAGACTGGACACACATGCTCAGGTGCCAGACAACAGCCTGCCACAGCCTTTCTGCCATGGAAACATGATCACGATCCATGGGCAGGGCCAGGGCAACTTGTGACTAAAGGAAGTGACTCACAACTTCCTTTTTCTTTTACTAATGATGTGCCAATCCACAAAACGATGGCAGATACAAAGGCCCCAAGTCATCAAGTGCACCAATTAGCCATGAACACAGAGATCCACTTAATTCCCTCAAACCCATATAATCTAGATGAGATGAGGCTCAGCAGACAGACAGGTGGAGAGGGAACTGTCACTGTGGGGAAAGAGCCCACTGATGTCAGCTATCTTACAGCTCAAAGGATGCTGAATGAGTTTTTGAACCAGATTCCTCCTCCAGCGCATGATGGTGAAGGGAAAGATGCAGCAGAACTAACAGAAGGGAAGCAGTAACATTTAATTTGACGTCTTTTGGTAAACTGTGTAGGAAATTAAAATCTCTAACATCTACCGTTACCAATATTGCAGCAAGGATGCAAATAACTGTGGCTCTGATGGCTCTGGTATTTGTGAAATACATGTAATTTCTAGCTTTACAAGTACAATTACTGTATTTATATACCATCTGGTTTTGTGCTATATCCGTTAAAACATTTACTTTTCTGGTTTCCTGCTTTCATTTGTAGTTTAATACATATTCAATAGGTATCCTCAATATTAATGTTTTTATACATGTTTGCACTTTTTGCCCTGGATGTTGTGAAATATTTAAAGATTGGTTAGAAATAAAATAATATAGCTAGATATTCATATTATTTTATAACTAACCAAATTTACTGTCAATGAGCTGTTCGGGAAGTTATAGCACTCTCAGTCTTTTATCTTTGAGTGCTTAATGTTTGCCTGTATAAAATTAAAATTAAACTGGAGAGTGTATTTTATAGAGTGTATTTATTGTATACTGTGACATTTAGGAAAGTTTGAATTTTTGTTTTTGTGAAATCTAAATGTATAGCTGATAGAATATTAGTTAGTTTCTGCTAGAAAAAAAAATAAGCCACATAACCATGTACATTTATTATAGAATATCCTTGTATTTTTATTTTAAATGTATTAATAAAGTCTTGTGTGCTAATTTGCTCTACATTTGGGAGTGGTTTATATCTGTCTTAGTCACTTTAAGGGTGTCTTTATATCCATATAAAACACAGTGTGACATCCAATTGTCAATCGATTACTTAGACTGATTTCAAATTAAAATTAAATCAGCATCACATGCTCATCATAACACAATTAATACTGCTTTGTTATATTTCACATGACCCACTCCTGATTATATATTATACAGCATCTATATTCTGCATAGTCAGCATTAAAAACACACACACACACACACACAAGACACATTAACACTCACATTTGAGCCAGCAAACACAGACAGCCGGCAGTGACACAACACTATGATGTCTGCAGAGTCTCTAACCCATCCCTAGATTGCCCTGCAATGGAATATGAATTATATATTTTATATCATATCATATTCTAAAATGTTTAAATAAAATGTTAGAATTTGACATTTTTGCTACTACATTTTTAATATCTGGGCCATTTTTATCTCTCTTAGTGTGTTTTTGCCCTAAACTGTGTCCTAATTTATGAGTCTTCATTTATTTCTGACCCTGCTGTATACACTGAGGCTCACAGTAATGCATCACATTCTGTCATGCCTGTTTTCTTCTCCATTCTTTTCAGTTTCACGGTTTCTCAGTCCATTAAATGGCACACTTTGCGTCAAACCCCTCCCTCTGGCACTCTTCTGGACTTGTTGACCAAGGGCAGGTTTGCTTAGAGGACACTGGCCTGGATTCAGACATGACAGGAGATTATGACACTCAAGACATAATACTCTATATCATATTTTTAAGACCTAATCAAAATGGCTGCCAAACTGTAGGAGGCATATTGAAGGCTCAGGGTCTGAAAGAAAGGGCACTCAAAGTTCTTGAAGGTAAAAAATATTTTTTTCTTCTGCTAAAATCAG